TAGTCCCTGTGAGGACAGAAAAAGACAAAGGAAAAGCCTTGGTTTGAACCATCAAACGCTGCTGCATTGCATCTGTCACAGCGCTGCCGACGAATACTCACCGTTGCTTATTGAAACGCAGCTATTCTTGTAAAGTCACCTGGAAAAAAAACAGCATTGGGGAAAGTTTAAAGTTCACAGAATTGAGCCGAGGCTTTCCGTACCACACTGAAATGATCGGACCGTGTAGGAGGGAATCTGCGCTGATGTTTCAACCTCATATGGTCGAGACGTTGCAACACATTCAACTTTTATAGGAGCGCTTTTTTTTTCCGTTGCATGCAAAACTCGTACAGATGCAGTTAAAATGAACATCATCTCGGCCCTCAAGAACAGGTGCCAGGGAAGCAGCCTGGGGATATGTTCATTACAATGAAATATCCATTTGCTTTAATGGATTTTTCATTTCTATTTCATCTCATTTCTATAGCAATTAAAAAGAAATCAAATTTGATATATGATGCAGCGTACTCATGACACACCGTTGGCATATTTCCCAGAATATCCATCCAAAGTTTGATCCTTAAAAATGGCTTTGGGGCAGATAACAATATTGATGTGAATACAGAAACATTATTTATCTTTTTTTTAAAACCACTTGTTGCATCCATGTATTATTATTTAATTTCAGGCTAAATTAATGCTGTCAAATTTCGGGGTCAGTAAGATTTTAAAAGTCTCTTCCGCTAACAAAGGCTGCATTTATTTAATCAAAAATACAGTAAAAATAATGAAATATTATTACAATTTAAAATAGCCGTTTTGTATTGGAATATATTTTAAAATGTAATTTATTCCTGTGATCAAAGCTGAATTTTCAGCATCATTACTCCAGTCTTCAGAGTCACATGACCCTTCAGAAATCACTCTAAAATGATGATTTGCTGCTCAAGAAACATTTCTGTTTATTATCAATGATATTGATATTTTCGTGAAAACCGTAACACGTTTTCAGTGTTCTTTGATCTGATTCTTTTCCGTATTAATGCAAAGCTTATAAGTATAAGAGTAAAATAGGAACTAATGACGGTTGGTTCAGTCATTTTCCATGGATGACAATTTGCATATTCCAACATGTCACATGCAAACTTCTGAGCTGATCTAACGGCTGCATTACTGCTTTTACTTGTCCTCCGTACGTTGGTCTCACCTGTTCCTGTGTGTGTCTGAGGCGTTCCTCCATCTTCAGGCTTCTGTTCAGCTGCTTTTCCAGATCATGTCCGTAGTATTCCCCAGGCTCCAGCTTCCCTGCTGCCCTATGAGAGCAGAACCACAGTGAGCACATGCCCAGGAGATCTGAACAACACACACACTTCAGCAACATGTTTTTGTTACCCTGATCTCGAAGCGCTCCGTGCGTGGAGAACGTCTGACGGTGAGAATGTGAGGTCTGTTTCACTCCCAGCCTCTAAACATCATCATAGCCAAAGTTTGAACATCAATGAGTAACGTATGCTATCGTTGGTGGGCTTGCCATTGATCAGGATCATTCAATATTACCTGAGTTCAGCTCTTTCACCAATGAAGACATCGTGTTGGTTATGGAGTCTGCAGCTACCAGGAGATCATTTCTTAAATTCCTTCTGGAGCCTTCAAAAAAAAAATCAAATTATTTAATATTAAGTATTTATAAAATCATTAAGTAATATTAAATAATTTATGTAATAATAATAATTACATTTTCCATAACATATTGCAAAGTAAAATGAGTCACAAGGTACAGTATATATATATATATATATATATATATATATATATATATACAGTGCTTCTCAACTTTTTCGACTCGAAGGCCCCATATTGTCCACGACAATATTTGAAGGCGCCATAACCTTTCCAGTTTGGTCAAAAATTAAGGATAATTATTTATTTATTTATTTTTTTTACTCTTAATATTTTAGCAAGGCAAAGCTAGAAAAATGTTATATTCATTTTTAATAATATTCATTATTAAAATGGCCATTGACTTTTATGGTCTTATAAACTTACTTGACTTTTACAGTTCTACATTTTTTTTTTTAAAGAATTCCTAATTTTTCCAGATTTTCCAGTTTTTGGATGAATTAGACAGTGGGAGGAATTAAAATTAATTCCCAATTAATTAAAGAAACACAGATCACATTGAAATAGCTTGTTCTAGATGTTTTGGCTTATTTTAATTATTGTTTTTCCAAGTTTTGGATGAATTGGACAGTGGGTGTATAAAAATGTATTCCAAATTAATACTTTTTTTTTTAATACAATTTTTTTTTTTAAGAAAAAAATTACATAAATCTTGTTTTGGATGTGCTAGAACATTTTAATGTTTGTTTTGTCTCATTTTGAGGCCCCCTTAGAAGTGTGCTGAGGCCCCCTGGTTGAGGAACACTGGTTTACAGGAACATTTGGGGTTCAATATGATCTAGTTAAGCTGTTTACATGGAATCTAGAAAAGCACTATTACTCCAAAATGATTTAGACAACTTCACAGATCAAATAATAAAGGTTTTTTACCATTTTTAACGGGGAACCGTCCCAGAACGGCCATGACTGGGCAGATTTTCAATAGCATTTGGGCTGGTTTTGTTACGCAAACCTGGCAACCCTGATCTGCAGTATCTCTTGGTTTTAATTGGCTGAAGTCGTTTTCAAATGCAAGAGGAACATGTTGGTTACCCAGAGCGAAGGCCTGCTGCACCTCTCCTCCCAGGCCCATCAGCGAGTCCTGAGGCGTCTGACTGGGTGTGGTATTGCCGGATGTTGATTGGACAGGCATGGGGATGGGTGTGGTATTGCCGGATACTGATTGGGTGTTGATCGTGTGGCTGGGGGAGGAGCGAGGGGAGTGGCCAGGGCCTTGGTTCTAGGGAACAAAAGGAGATTATATGATTGTAAGATAAAAATCAAAACGGCTTAATCCAGTGTTGTTATTTTAACTAAAACAAAACAGTTAAAATCATTTTGCATCAAATAAATGTAAAGTAAAGCTAAATAGATTTTTTAAATGACAAAGCACATAAAACTACTAAAACCTAAAATAAATTCAAATGAAAACTGAAAAAAATAAAGCTAATTAAAAAATATATGATATGCATAATTCTAAAATTAATCACTGAATTAATCATAAAAATAAGTGTCAAAAATATATCATAAAATACATTAATTTTAAAGTTAATTCTTTGTAAATTAAATAATGATCAGAACAAATCTCAGGTCCCTATATGAAGAGTTCAGATGCAAAAGCCTCTAAATGCCATTTGAAATTTTCGTCTAAAATGACCGTTTTTATGAAGCTTGTATATATATGTTCAGTAATTTCACTTAAATGACAATTAATAGGTAATCTTCATTGCCATTTAAGTGAAATTACTGAACTTAAATATACAAGCTTGATAAAAAAATTTCAAATGGCACTTAGAGGCTTTTGCATCTGAACTCTTCATATAGAATTTTTTGCCAGTTGTTTAGCTAATAATTCATGTCTATAGCACAAACAACAATAAAGGACTTTGATTTACGTATGAAAGTTTATTATTATTATTATTATTATTATTATTATTATAGGGTTAGATGTTTGTTCAAAATCATACAAAGAAGAGTTAGAGTATGTGATCGACATGCTGGAAGTGAATAACAGCATGCGTTAACTTTGATTTGTGCTATGTGCTAAATGAACAAAAGTAAGTTCTGGATGCCAAAGACACAACCAACACAACACATTTATTATTATTATAGTTTAATATTAGGGAGAACAAACGCACAACATACATTTAATCTCAGTCAGATGAAGTATATTAGTTGCACTTTATTTTACAGTACGTGTACTTACAATGTACTTAGCTAAGAAAGTACTGGGTAATATAAGCTAACTACATGGGTTTAGGTTATGTTTAGGGTTATTACCCATTTATTGTACATATTATGTATGTACATGGGCAAAAGGACTGAAAAATAAAGTGCTACCAGTATATTAACACAGTTTTGTTACTGACTTACAGCTCTTTTTAGCTCTTCTTCCTGTAGATGGAGCAGTTCAGCTCATTAACAGGGATTTCTAAATTGAACTTCTTAAAATTGTGCAATCATCATTTGTTTATGTGTGTGTGTGACCTTTTCTACCTTTAACAGAAGCATGAGGTGTTCCAGTTGGACCATAAGTTCTCGACGGCTATCCTGAAGAGCCGACATCCTCTGCTCCAACTCCTCCTTCCTCTGCCTGAGACAAAGAAAGCCAAAAGGTAATCAATATAACTTTGACCTTAATTCAAAATGAATTGTGCAACAATTAACAGCCTGATAGTGTTGTTTATTTGCCTCTGCTCTCTATGCTGTTTACCACTACATTCACTTAATACATTATGCAAATTGCGTAAACACTTCTGTCCCGAACACAATTTGCATGGTGTAGTGCCATGTAGTGCCTGGTTAAACACCCAATCACACCACGTATGATAAATATAATGATAACGATAAGGATATACTTCTAAAAATCGTTCTAAATGTATACAATTTTTTATTTACTATACTTTGTCCCTGGGAACCATGTTCTTAAAGGGATAGTTCACTTTGAAATTAATTTTTGATATGTTTTAGCTTACCTCAAGGGCATCCAAGATGTAGGTGTCTTTTTTCCACAGTATTTTCAATTTTGATATTTTTAGGTCAAACCGTTCGTGTCTGTCAGTCATATAATGGAGGTCTATGGTCACCACCTCAAAAAGCATGCACAGGGAAGTCCAAATTAAACATGATTTAATGACTCGTAAATGTAAGTACACATTGATGGCCTAAGAAACGAAACGAACGGTTTGTGTGAGAAAACGAACAGTATTTATATCGACGTGGCTGTGGTTACAAGAGGTAAAAACGGTATAAATACTGTTCGTTTTCTCACACAAACCGCTCGTTTCGTGTCTTAGGCCATCAATGTGTACTTACATTTACGAGTCATTAAATCACGTTTAATTTGGACTTCTCTGTGCATGCTCTTTGAGGTGGTGACCATAGACCTCCATTATATGACTGACAGACACGAACGGTTTGACCTAAAAATATCAAAATTGAAACTACAGTGGAAACAAAGTCACCTACATCTTGGATGCCCTTGAGGTAAGCTAAAACACACCAAAAAACAATATTATAAAAGTGAACTATCCCTTTAAGTGTGGTATTTGCAGTAGATTTTAATTCATAAACATAACTATGATGTTCATTATGAAAATAATAATAACATAAAAACAAATGTAGAAACCAAACCTGCTTCAATCACTTCTCTAACAGAATACTTAGTATGAATCTAGAACTTTTGCACCAAAATATAGTATTACTACAATTAATGTTACTTGAGTAATATCACAGTAAAGTTTCTAAATTGAAGGACTAGAGCTCATTCAAATATGCATGCTTGACTCAGTTCACCATTCAAATCTGCCTTGGTGATGATGTCTACAAACAGGAAGGAGTCTCAGTGTTGCAAATTGCTTTTAAAGTACTTACACTCGTTCATTAGAGGAGCCATGATCAGGTTACACTCACTTTCAATGCAGTCTATCTCGTAACCATCAGCATCTGCTGTTCACCGCATCCGATCCGGTATCAGGTCTGACTCACGGCTGTGTGTGTGTGTGTGTGTGTGTGTGTGTGCTTACCTAAGCAGTCTCAGTTCAGCCAGTAATGTTGGGTTTTGTTGGTTTTTGTCTAATGGAGGCTGGGAAGCTTCTTCATGTTGTTGTCTCAGGCGTTGTATCTCTTGCAAAATTTCCCTGAAAAAACACAATTTATCAACTTTAAGAATGCAAATTCAGATCACTGTACAATACTAAACTATGATTAACAGTCTCATACTCACTTGTTCTTGTTCTCTAGCTCGGCGATAAGTTGCCGTTGCTGTTTATTGGTGTCCAGACACAGAGAGATGTCTGCTGGGACTCTGTTCTTCTGTTAACAATAGTCATATTATAGTTGAACAGAGTTGATTACATTCATTTATTTACACATATCCATTATGGTTAAAGATGAAGTGTGTCATTTCTCTGCCACAAGCTTAATTGCACAAATAATGGTTGTTTCCAAACTGGTTTTCCAACTTCCAACATAAACAAACATTGTCCATAACATCTTATCATTATTTTGATTGGCCGTCTTACCGCTGCAGCTCCATCAGCAGCCAATCGGGAGGCGTAACGGGCAATGAGGCAGTGCTCATCATCTTGGTTATTACTGCTCTCCTGGAAACTATCAATCAGGGAAAGGAACAAAGCTCAGTCAACTACAATACCACAATTACTAGTTCAGAATCACAAAAGCTTTTACTGTAGCATTACTATAGCAATTACTGTAGTAGCCTATGCAAAGTTAGTTTATTATAATAATAATAATAATAATAATATATATATATATATATATTATAAACTTACTTTGCATACATACATATACTGTTTTGCTAAATATTTTTTGTTTTCATATTGAAAATCACAAGAAAGTTCTTGCAAAATTTATAAAATAGGTTTTATAAATCAAAAGAACATACAGTATGTTTAGTGAAATAAGTCACCAATAATACCCTAATGGCAGAATAAAATAACACTGCCAGCACATTTCAGGATCTAAGCAAAGCATGAAGACCATAGAGCCCCAGGTCCCCCCCCCCCAAAAAACATTGCAATGTTAGGAGCAAATGCAAGGATAATCTCCATATTAGACACATTTGCTGGGAAAACACAGCCATAGCTAAGGGTGTTGCATAATGGGTAAACATATGTGCTGTATACTGTAGCTAAGGTTCCTTTGGACTGGAAAAGAGCAAATCAGCCTTTACTTCAGATAGAAAAAGACTTGTGGCTAAAGTAGATCATTGATGTTGTATTTTTCTGTTTTTCTATACCAAATAGATGCACAAATCTTCCCAAAATGCCAAAATCCACACACACACACACACACAAAAGACCTATTTACACGGTCAAAACAATTCATATATTCATCATTAATCAAATTAGAAGTTTACAATTAGGTCAAAAAAAATGTTTGTCATAAAAATGAGAGGTCAAATTTTGGGATGGATTCATTTAACTCCTGTGTGTCCTCAAGGAAATGTTTGTCTTTTCAGTTTTGTTTTTGGATCATTTTATCCAATATGACTTTGCATTTATCAGTTACATGCATTCCCTTGAAATCAAACCCATAATCTTTATCTAATGTTTGAGATACAGGAATGCTAAAGCATTTCAAATGACATAATTGAAATAGTGAAGTATACATCTATAGATTATAAAAACATCATTTATATAACTTCTATTGTATAGTTTGTTGCAAAATAGCCATACACACTGTATATAAATGATTTGAAAGTCCAGGGAGACATTCAATACTGAACTGTTTTGGCACGATTCCTGTTCCCACGGAATTGGTGAATTATGGGTAGTGTAGGATTATGGGTAGTGTAGTTCTTCACTGGGATTCAGTGATTAATCGTGATTTTTGAAATCACACTCTATAGAAGCATATTGTTAGCTCATGGTAGTTCTCTACTAAAAAATGTATTCATCATTAGTGCTGAAAGTCAATCTCTCTGTGGCAGTGAAATGCAATATGATCAACACAAAGTAAAAACACTGCTTAAACACAACAAACGCCTAGCCAGTTAGCAAGCTGCAAACATAAGACAGAATTGTGGCCAGAATAGTCACCATCCCACATCTGGGATACTTTCTACAACTAAATTAGGAATATTTCAAATGTGGAAAGACTTTCAAATGATAGTTTGGCATTTTAATTTAGCGTATTACCAGATTGACATGGTGACCTATGCTATTAAAAACAGATTAGGAAGAAAACTGCCACAGCAACCTCAGACAGGCCGACAGCTCACACTGACCATGAACGGTCCTTTCGGAGGAGATTCACATAAAGTCCGATAAGTATGTGCTCGTCTGCGAGCCTATCCGCAATATCGAGGCTGTACTGAACCCTGAAACCACGTTTCAGAAACACAGATGACGTCACAATGACTTTAAGAAGCAACTTTCTGCAGTTGTAATTGTAGAGTCACAAAACTTTCTTATTATTTGAATGTATTAAAATTAGGGCTGTCAAACGATTAATCGCGATTAATCGCATCCAAAATAAAAGTTTGTGTTTACATAATATATATGGGTGCACTGTGCATAAATATTTTATGTTTATATATATATATATATATATATATATATATATATATATATATATATATATACACATATGCATGTATATTTAAGAAAAAAATATTTATATTTATATATAATATAAATATATATACAACTATATACAGTATATACATGAAAATATTTCTTAAATATATACAAGCATGTGTGTGTATTTATATATATAAAATAATTATGCACAGTGCACCCACATCTATTATGTAAACACAAACTTTTATTTTGGATGTGATTAATCGTGATTAATTGTTTGACAGCCCTAATTAAAATATGGAAACATTTTACAATGAGGCTCTATTAGTTAACTACATAAGTTAACACGAACTAACAATGAAAAAATAAAGCATAATTTGAACATTAACTAATACATTGTTATATTCAAAAGTATTATTTAATGGACGGGAGCAGACATGAACTTGAACTATGAACAGTTGTATTTTTATCAACATTAACAAAGATGAATAAATACTGTAAAAAATGTATTGTTAGTTATGGCAACTAATGGGACCTTATTGTAAAAATGTTACCAAAAGCACAGAATGCTAACAATAATGTAATTAGAGTTGATGCAAATGAAATAGGGTTGTGTGGGATGGAAGTACAATTCATTTAATATGTCATAATGTTGACAAAATGTTGAAAATATGTCTTTTATAAATTTGCATTATTTTCTTGGCTGTCAATCTGACACAACACAATCCCTCACAGCCTGTTTTTATTTGCATCTACTCGAAACATTCCCATGTAGCCCATTGGCGGTCAATACAAGATCTTTCTTTATTACTTCATAATCACTTAGAACAGTTGACACACCAGTATACACATCATTTCAACCAGGCTAAACTTACCCTTTGCCTTTTAAAAGATCTGGGGTCGTCCGGGAAAACAGCTTCATTTGCTTTGTCTCATCAAGAGCACTTTTTACCCCCAAAATGAGATACAATAAAACAAATTAATGAGCAACACATTTATACTTAAACAAACATGTTTAGAACACACCATAAAGGGATCTGAGCATGCGTCAAAACCAGTGTCATTTTAGCATTAATTTATACAGTTTGCGTTATTTATTCGAATTCGAGTTTTAGCAATTTTTTATGTGCTTGTCATTTTATTATATATATATATATATATATATATATATATATATATATATATATATATATATATATATATATAATAAAATGACAAGCACACAAAAAATATATATATATTACCAATAAGTTTAAGTACTAAAATTACTAAAACTGAAATGAATATATATATATATATATATATATATATATATATATATATATATATATATATATATAATTTCAGTTTAAGTAATTTTAGTACTTCAACTTAAACTTATTGGTAACACTTTACAGGTTCCATTTGTTGACATTAGTAAACTACATTAGTGAACATGAACTAAAAACGATCAATACGTATACAGCATTTAATAATCTTAATCATTAACAAAGACTAATAAATGACGTTAAAATATATTGATCATTGTTAGTTTTGTTAATGAATTAACTAATGTTAACAAATGAGACCTTTTTGTAAAGTTTTGCCACTTATTTCAATTGGATGACAAGGAAACATTTCTAACTTTCATTCAAGTTTAAGTGTACAATATGTATAACTTATTTCATTTCAGCTTTATTTCATAAAAAAATGACTTTGAATAGTTTTAGTTACCAATAACAACACTAACATCAAACATTATCTGTTTTATCATCCAGTATTATACTCACGTTTTGCTGGAGTAAGGGTTTCCTGAGGAAGGCATGGTGTGCGAGAGCATGTATTCATTCCCACTGTTCACAGGTCTGGGAGGCCTGGAGGAAATAACAATACGTTTCCACCAAAACTGTAAGATTAGTTATGCCCATCAAATTACTGTGAAATCCAACAACATATGAGGATATATATCACTTTACTCACCATGTGTCACTGTTTTTCAGCGTAAAAGCGAAAAACACAAGGCAGGAAAATGTTAGCATGCACATTTCATGATAAATTCATTGTACAGTCATATAGTCAACAATTTTACACTATCCAATATCCATCTGAGCGAAACGTGAGTTCACGTACACAACATGAGTGAGGTTGAGCGGTTTCTCGGGTGTATCGGAGAACATCGGGTGAGGAGGATCTCGACTGGAGGCACAGCTCAGAGATTTACTAAGAGCGTCCGACAACTTCTTAGCTGGAGATTTCTGGAGACAAATGAAGAACTGTTGTGAACCAGGAGAATTAATATCCATTAATGTCTCTATATGTAAATGTTTCATTTCACAGTATCATAGGAGAGATTATTTACATAAAGAGGTCTTAAATGTAACATATAATACATGTTTAATTCTAGTTTAATGGTCACGTACAAATTATTTACTCACTTCCCCAAATTTTCTTTTTTGGTAAAATATTGTGTAAAATACATGTTTATTTCATTTCAGCAATTTTGTGTACATTTCCCTTGCCATCATTAAAATGACTGTACTGTATGTACACAAGCCAGCTCTATACGATTTTTTCTATAAGAAATGAATACTTCTATTCAGCAAAGTTGCATTAAATTGATCAAACTTAACAGTAAAGACATTTATAATGTTACAATAGATTTATATTTCAAATGAATGCTGTTTAAATATAAAAATAAAAGCAAATTATCACAATTTCCTTAAAAAAATGAATATATATAAATATTGAGTATCAAATCATCATATTAGAGTGATTTCTGAAGGATCATGACACTGAAGACTGGAGTAATGATGCTGAAAATTCAGCTTTGATCACAGGATTTCTTTTTTTATTATTATTATTAGGGCTGTCAAACGATTAATCGCATACAAAATAAAAGTTTGTGTTTAGATAATATATGTGGGTGCACTGGGTATAATTATTATATATATATATATATATATATATATAAATACACACACATGCTTGTATATATTTAAGAAATATTTTCATGTATATACTGTATATATAGATTTATATATAATTTATATTATATATAAATATAATATTTTATATATAAATAATATATTTTCTTAAATATACATGCATGTGTGTGTATTTATATATATATATATATATATATATATATATATAATAATTATACCCAGTGCACCCACATATATTATCTAAACACAAACTTTTATTTTGGAAGTGATTAATCGTGATTAATCTTTTTTTTATGTATTAGAATAGAAAACATTTATTCTAAATTGTACAAATATTTCACAATATTCCAAAACAAATGCGGCCTTGGTGAGCTTAAGAAACTTCTTTCAAAAACGAACCCAGACATTTGAACGGTAGCCTATAGTTTATACACAGTCAATATATCGCCATGTTGCCATCAGCAATTGACAAAAATGTAAATGCTACCAAAGAAGTGAATTCATTGTGCAGAGTCAGATTTAGACTGGTGTCATGACATTTAGTATAAAGGCATGAAGTGATTCGACTGTTTGGATGACGGGACTGACACTTACTCACAGTCACGATCCCACAAGGCCGTTCACCTACCCATGACATGTACTCCTTCATCTGGTGCTGGTTGCTATGGCTGCCCGAGGCATGGCCCCTCCAGAAACACTCTTGGCAAAGTTGGTAATTATCACATTGTTGGCATCGGTAGCGGAATCCCATCATGCTCTGGCCGTGGCAGTAGGAGCACTCAACAGGGTGAAAGACTAGAGAGGAGAGGGGCAAAATAAAGTCAGCACTACTAATCAAGTGCAATAACAATATTTGTCATTCATTTAAATTATAATCTATATAGATGTGTGTTTTGCAGTAAAAAAAAAATGAAGAATGACGCACCGTTTTCAACATTTGCCAGCCGATGCATCAGCGGTAACCAAACCAGACACTGAGGAGGAGGATCCGACATGAATGTGTCAAGAAACACATTGAGCGAGACCTTTTTCTGTGGAAGACCAGCGGTTAGTAAAAGTAAACAAATGAGTCAATAAATACCATGTACAACATGCAAGTGAAAAACTACGTCTTTTGTACATTTTCTGAAGAAATTATGAATGGTGCTTGCCCACGCTAAACTTGCTGGTGGTTGCAAGGACGCTGTGTTTTATTGTCCGTCGTGCAATGAAACATACTATTCAAAAGTTTGTGCTTTTGTAAAGCTTTTTCAAAGAAGCTCACCGATTGCATTTATTTCATCAGGAATAAACGTAAAAACAGTATTCAAAGTTTGCTTTCGATTTGAATATATTTTAAAATGTAATATATTTTTGTTAATTTTCAGCATCATTCGTTCAGAAATCATTCTAATATGATGATTTGCTGCTCAAGAAACATTTATTATTCATTTAAATGCTGAAAACAGATATTTTTGTGGAAACCATGATGATATATTAATTAGGATTCTTTGATGAATTCAAAGCTCAAAAGAACAGCATTTACAACATTTTAAAAGTCTTTACTATCACTTCAAATCAATTTCAGTCATTCTTGCTGAATAAAAGTATTAATGTGAAAAAAATGTGACTGATCTCAAACTTCCGAATGATAGTGTAAGTCTGACTGCTTTAATAAGTAATAGCACGCCTTGAATGTATCAAATGATAGGCGCATGTTTATGCATGGAATTACATTAAATATATATGTGTGTGTGTGTGTGTGTGTGTATATATGAAGAGTTCAGATGCAAAAGCCTCTAAATGCCATTTGAAATTTTAACTTTAATGATGATTTTTGTCAAACTTGTATATTTAAGTTCAGTAATTTCACTTAAATAACAATTAATAGGTAATTATCATTGCCATTTAAGTGAAATCACTGAACTTAAATATACAAGCTTGATAAAAATGATCATTCTAGAAGAAAATTTCAAATGGCACTTAGAGGCTTTTGCATCTGAACTCTTCATATACACTGTATATGTTCACAAACCTCTTGTGGAAAGCAGCTTCTCGTGGACTGCTCAGTGTACCCGAAAGATGGTCCCTCAAACACCGTCATGGGCAGTTTCAGCACGTCCCTTAGGAACTGGTCAAACTGTGAGTATATCATTATACCATTTGGGTCTGATATCTGTGAAAATACATCTTGAGGAAAAAAGACAAGCATCAGGAGTGATCAATTTCATTTTTTTAAAGAAACCATGTTCATTTAGATCCAGGTATATTTTAATAACTCAAAGCGTGATGCAGACAGGAAACACTTTTCCGTATTTAATGTATAGAAATGTTTAGTTCTTCATCTAAATATCAGCATATACTGTACACTACCCTAAAATAGTTGTGTGTGTGTGTTTGGAGAAGAAATGAATACTTTTCTTTAGCAAGAATGCATAAAATTAATAAAAAAGTGTCAAATAAATTTTTTTTTAAATCTGTTCTTTTGAACTTTCGGTAACACTTTAGTTTAGGGTCCAATTCTCTGTATTAACTAGTTGCTTATTATTATCATGCATATTTCTAGTACTTATTAAGCACATATTAATGTGTTTTATTAATTAATTATTCAGCATGACCATATTCTATATCCCTAATCCGACCCAATATCTAAACTTAACAACTAACTTACTAACTAATAAGCAGTAATTAGGAGTTTATTGAGGCAAAAGTCATAGTTAATAGTGAGAACTGGACCCTCATCAAAACTGTGACCAAACTTTCTATTCATCAAAGAATTTTATAAACAATTTTTAACATTGATAATAATAAGAAATTTGTATTAAGCAGCAAACCAGCATATTATAATGATTTCTGAAGGTGAACATACAATGCTTCTTTAAAAAAATATTAAGGACCCATTAGTGTAATCTAAAGTTTCGTTACTAGGAATGAATCACCAGAAAGTTAACTAAACTTCCAACTATACTGACATGCTCATGAGAGGCAAATATGCCTTTCAAATATGACTTTCAAGTAACGACAGCTGCTCTGACCTTTAAAATGATGATAGAATGATTAATTCTATCCATTCACTTAAGCGTCCATTAATCAGCATCAAACCATTGAACACTCATCAGTTCAAAGGCAAAGCCAAAGTGAAACTTACATCTTAGTTTATCCAAAATCTTCCCTCCACAGAGGGCAGCCAGGGCCATCTTCACCACAAAAATAGAGATCTTTCCCACACCTTCCCTATAAAGACACAATCGTCATCGAACACATTAAGGCCTTGTTTCACAGACAAGGCTTAAGTCTAGTCTCAGACTGCAATGCATGTTTGAGCGGTTACACAACTTGCACTGGCATATCTAAAAATATGTCATGTCTCAAGAAATAATTTCTAAGGAATGTTTATAAAAAAACTTCTTAAAGGAGTAGTTCACTTTTAAAAAAACTTTTGCTGATAATTTACTCACCCCCATGTCATCCATAATATTCATGTCATTCTTTCTTCAGTCGAAAAGAAATTTAGGTTTTTGATGAAAACATTCCAGGATTTTTTCTCCATATAATGAACTTCAATGGGAACCAAACAGTTCAAGGTCCAAAAGACAGTATCAGTGCAAACTGCAAACCGTTCAAAGGGCTTTAAACGACACCAGACGATGAATAAGGGTCTTATCTAGCGAAACAATCGGTCATTTCAAAAATAAATAACAAAGTTTAAGTTTTATAAGCACAAATGCTCGCCTTGCTCTGTTCTGTGACGCACGTTCGTGACTCTCCTGTTCGAACTCGTTCATCAAAATGAACAAATCTTTTTCAACAAATGAAACGAACAAATTGACTCGGAAAAAGATTTGTTCAGTTTGCACTGAAAGTGTCTTTTGGACCTTGAACCGTTTGGTTCCCACCCAGTAAAGTGCATTATATGGAGAAAAATGCTGAAATGTTTTCATCAAAAACCTTAATTTCTTTTCGACTGAAGAAAGAATTACATGGACATTTTGGATGACATGGGGGTGAGTAAATTATCAGCAAAAGTTTTTTTCAAAGTGAACTACTCCTTTAAATTTCCTAATTAAACTAAGGCCTAATCCTGGCTTAATCTAAACCCTGTCTGTGAAACCAGGCCACATATAGCAAAAGCAAGTGATGTATAAAGAAATTCTAGTCAGATCAAGTGAAGACAATGAAGTGTCATGTCATTAATTCTACACTTAAATTAATTTCATACTAGACAGATTTAAGGTCGGGGTTTCTTACGGGTCGTAGGCCGCTAGCAGGAAGTTGAGGAGGAACGAGATAGACTGGTCTACATTGATCTGGTGGGTTGTGGGCAAGCGCTTGTTCAGCTGGTAAAAGATGGTGGACAGTATTGCTTGCAAATTTGACACTGAGAACTCTGTGTTGAGGTCCATGGAGTTGAGTCTGTTTTCCCGAAACACCTCGATGATATTCCAGATATCCACCAAATGCACTGCAAGAAGCAAAGAACAAATGCCAATATCTGGAATTGCATTATTTCCAAAGACTGAAGCTACTGTGAATACTAAATAAACTTGCAATGAGAATGTTTGTGTCAAAAAACACTTGTTAAAGTTATATTACAGTAAAATCTTATGCAGTAAACACCCTAAAACTTACAATTGCACCTCTTCTGAATGAATCTCAGCTTGCATGCTGTCCTATACGTGGACAATCTGATGGAGTCCAGATCTAATGCACCTGTGAGATGAAAACATTACATTTACAGTACAGTACATGGCAGACCATCCAGTTTAAATCAGTCTAAGATGTCTTAGCCGGTTTAAGACGGCCTAGCTGGTCTTACAACCTAATCAAACTGGTGTTTAGGTGGCTTTGGCAGGTGGTCAACAGTCCCAAACCTGTCTAAAACCAGCAAAACACACTAGACTAGACAACATTGGAAGAACAAGTAACCTAACCACTTTAGGCTGGTTAAGATAGGGTTTTTTGTTTCTCAACAGGGAAATTATTTGAAGAACTGTTAGCATGTCTAGACTATCAATAAAAAAGTTGGGGTTGGTAATATTTTTTAATGTTTAAGTCTCTTCTGCTCACCAAGACTGCATTTATTTAAAATGTGAAATATTATTACACTATTTTCTATTTGAATATGTTGCTAAATGTAATTTATTCCTGTGATCCAAGCTGAATTTTCAGCATCATTACTTCAGAAATCATTGTAATATGCTGATTCGCAACGCAAGAAACATCATTATTATGATCAGTGTTAAAAACAGTTTAATATTCTAGTGGAAATGTTGATGTATATTTTTTCATGATTCCTTGATTAATAAAGCATTTATTTAAAATAAAAATCTTTAGTTTTACAATATGAATGCTTAGTTACTGAATAGAAGAACTAATTTCCCCAAACTTTTGAACAGAAGTGTATTTCCTATTATCAGCATGTTAGCTCGATTATGTACTGATGAGTTAAATACATACGCATTTCAGCAAACAGTAGTCGTCTGTCTGCCATGGTGCTTCTGTTGCGGCCTGACTCTTCAATCATTCTGCGAAACATCACACGTACAGAAAACAAAAGGACAATGTGACAGGCGTCCCACAGCTGTGAAGGCAAACTGGGCTGAAAATAGACCTTTTGAGGAATTAACAATTATTATGGGGAAAACAACATTTATAATGTATTACAACACTCTCCATAGTCTTAAGCTCTATCACAACTCCTCTGCAACTTAGACTAATAAAAAAATAAACTGTATATAACAATACACAACAAGATAAACTCAAGAAGACACTAAAGTGCTACATAAATGCCAGTTACAGTTACAGATGAATTTGCAACAAAATAGCAAGTTTGGTCAGACACACAACATTTGACGTCAACAACAATAGATATGGGAAAGCATTTTCTCCTCCTTTTTAAAAGCTGATTAGACTATTTACTTTGCTATCCTAAAAATAAGTATTTAGCATTGTGTTTCCCTGCTGTCTGCAAACTACCAGAATAGACCTGTGACCCACTACTGACATGTTCCTTGGTGTAATTCGTGTGTTTATCTCCCTGGCTTCTTCTATAGAGACATTTTGTCATGATTCACATTGTAGACAGTAGCAGAGCTTTTGGACTCCATTTGTGACCTTGATTAAAAATAACATTTACAAGAACACTGCCTTGTGACATTCAGTACAATACCATCTTCTTTTACTGCGAGCAAACAACAGCTGTATCGTATGGAAGAAACTATTGAAAAGATCATTGAAACTTTTTACTTTTTTTTTTTAAGTCAAATTTTAAGGGAAAAAAGTCTGACTTTTTTATATCTCGCAATTCTAACTTTTTTCTCAGAATTGTGAGATATAAACTCAAAATTGTGAGTTATAAAGTCAGAATTACAAGATTTAAACATAATTGCGAGTTATAAAGTCAGAATTGCGAGATTTAAATTTACAATTGCAAGTTATAAAGTCAGAATTGCGGGATTTAAATTTACAATTGCAAGTTATAAAGTCAGAATTGCGGGATTTAAATTTACAATTGCAAGTTATAAAGTCAGAATTGCGGGATTTAAATTTACAATTGTGAGTTACAAAGTTAGTCAGAATTGTGAGATTTAAACTTAAAATTGCGAGTTATTAAGTCAAAATTGAGAGATTTAAATTTACAATTGTGAGTTATAAAGTCAGAATTGTGTGTATATACAGTAAACTCGCAATTTGACTTATTTTCTCAGAATTGTGAGATATAAACTGTCTTTAAATGCCATATAAACCTTAAATGCCATGCATCAAAAATGCTTTCTTTAATACAATGAAAACTTTTAAATCAGGTTTTCCTTTCTCTTTAAAACAACACCTGGACTAAACCATAAGAGGAAACATGAGGTTGATCTCCTAGAGAAGTTAAACTCCATCCTTCACAAAGCTTTTAATGCTCAGTTAACTTTAAGGAATGCTCAATCACAATCCCAGAGTTCATTACAACACGGGGACAAAGCATTACACATCCAACCGCAACCATCGCTATATCAAATTCACCTGCAGATGTAAAAAAAAATATCCAGAAAGCACTGCAAAAAAATCCATCCATCAGTAATGTGACACTTATCTAGCCCTATTGAACTCACATCAGAGATAAACAAGCTGCCACAGCGTAATTAAGTGTAATTTAGTGTTTTGGTTCACTGTTTCAACACTGCATCTATCATGTTAAACCAAATGGAAGCGATATAAACATGAAAACAACAAACACACGTGACAATTCAAACCAGATGTGTACCCTTCAGACAGCACCATAGTCCTCCTCTTGCTTATTTATGAGTGACCAATACAAGTCCGAAAGGTTTCAATAATGCTTTTCGTCAGGTCGAAACACAACAAAAGCGGCCCTTCGAGTTTTTGGCAGCCGACTGAAATAAGAACCCGTCAGGATCCAGCATGTGCTGCCTCTATCTTTAACCTCCAATTGGAGAGACTCACATTCTTGTAGGACTAGCTCTGGTTGCAAGTTTGTACCGTCCCTAACCCTCCACTGGGAGGCCTGGTCCTGAACGAAGGGCCTGTGGAGTTGTTTGCATTTAAAGACTCTGTGTGAAATTATTAGGCAAAATGATGAGGCTACGCAAGAACGGCTTGCTAGAGAGGACTGTAATTCAAGCCCTCTAATGGGACATTTCTAGAGAGATCCCATATTTCTCAGAGTCACTCGTCTAATATTTCGCGCTCTCTCCCTTTCTCCTTTTATTGTGGCTCTGGGATCTCCAGGTCTATAAATATCCTTTTGGACAGACAGTCGGTGGCATCCAGGCATTTTGAGGCCGACTCCATTTTTTTGTCACTCTCTGTGGGTGATTTATTTAGCATGGCAGGTTGAATGAAAAACATGAAATTGTGCTTTTTGATGTTGTTCGCCCTTGAAGTCGGTTGGCATGTAATACGTCCAGATCTGACCTGGAGGACAAAGTCATGTTCTACATGAAGCAGCTGTTCGGAGCGTCTTCTCGGAGTAATTAGCACTGGATTACTTGCATTAAACCGTCTGTGGGAGGAACTGATTGCAGCTAATGTTGCTGCATTTTTCCAAAACTACATAATGCATCTATTTAAGAAACGGCATTGCTACAGTACATGTCCCACACTCTCAGAAAAAAAGGTACAAAAGCTGTCACTGAGGCTGTACCTTTTCAAAAGGTACACTTCTGTACCCAAAGGCTGCATATTAGCACCTAAAATGTACATATTAGCACCTAAAATGTACATATTAACTCCTAAAATGTAAATATTAGCACCTAAAATGTACATATTAGCACCTAAAATGTACATATTAACTCCTAAAATGTAAATATTAGAACCTAAAACGTACATATTAGCACCTAAAATGTACATATTAGGACCTAAAATGGACATATTAGCTCCTGAAATGTACATATTAGCACCTAAAATGGACATATTAACACCTAAAATGGATATAGCACCTAAAATGTACATATTAACACTGGAAATGTACATATTAGCACCTAAAATGGACAAAAGTTTACCTTTTGAAAAGGTACAGCCCCAGTGACAGCTTTTGTACCTTTTTTCTGAGAGTGCATTTGAAACTGACATCCATGCAGGCTAAAATTGAATATATATATATATATATATATATATATATATATATATATATATATATATATATACACATATATTCCAAAAAGAAAAAAGTCACTGTTTGGATTTAAATAGGCAAATGCTTAAGAGTATAATTGGATAATTATTGCAGTGATTAGTGTGTTTCTATCATGTTATATGTTTGGCAAGAGTTCTTCTAACCCTAACCGATGGAGTGTGTAGCTTTTCATTTCTTAAACTCTGTAGGAAAACACAGCATGGCCATATTCCAGCATGACAATGTCAAGATTCATCAGGCTCAAATTGTGAAAGAATGGTTTTGAGTTTACACACATGAATCGGCACCTCTGAGTCCAGACCTTAAATTCATTGAAAGTCTTTGGGATGTGCTGGAGGAGACTTTCCAGAGTGCTGGACTCTTGCATTGTCAATACAAGATCTTGAGCAAAAAATGCATGCACTTCTTGATGTAAATAACATCACAACATTTATTTTTATTAATAGATGCATTAATTTTTGTATTGACATGGCAAGAGTCAAGCACTCTGTAAAGTCTCCTCAATTTAAATCTCTTTTTTTTTTTTGGCCGGGCAGTGTATATACAATATTTATGTAAAATTTGGTACTGTCTTGTGTTGCTTAAAGTCCTAAAATCTATGTCAATTGACCAGTGGTCATCACAGTCAACATTTTGAGATTATTATGCATTATCTAAAACACATAAAACTGCAAATTGGATTCCATGAGAACTCTATCCACAGCAAAGTGACCCATTACTCAACCTAACTGATTTTTCCACCAATCAGACACAGTAACTGCCTCTATGCTATACTCTGATTGTCATGGTACCACCATGAAGCAGCACAGCACTCTGGGTAAAGTCTCACAGCCCTTTCAGACTGTGATTTACATGTAGCTGTTTACAGGAAAGTCTTTCTAATGTTGTCCATGCTGTCTTCTTCTCATTCATCTCCAATTGTTTTAACCACATGAATAGATGAGTTCATGTAATGGTGCAATACAAAAACAACATCTATTTAATACAGCACAGCAAATAAAGAAATACATTTTAAGAAAGCAAATTAACTTTATGTGCATGTAGGAGCTAGTATTATCTATTTTCCAAACATCTTGGTATTCAAATTCCACTTAAAGTAGGCCTACAGAAAATACAAATAAAATGCCAACAATGTATAGGCCATTTCATTTGTAAGATGAGTGTTCACAGACCTAGAGAAATTATACGATTAAGAGAAAAAAAAAACAGTAGCTAAAATAAAATTCTCAACCAAATGTAAACAATTGTAGGCTATAAACATATTATGCATGCAATAATAAGCCGAATTTATAAATACTTATATTAGCAAAAATAAACAGAGTTAGACATCATAGCTCTGGGATTGAAGCCAGAGCTTGATTTAGGACATAACGTTCCAGATACACACTATTAATATCATACTTGCAGAATCTGCATTATGTCTGTTAGTAGTGGACTGTGGAGCATTCACAATGAAGCTCTATGAGAGGCGTCTGGTTCTCTGTGCACTTGCTACTCACCAAAACGCCTGTCATCGCCAAAATGGGTTTCAGTTCTGTTCCTCTGCGTTCAGTGAAGACCATCCGCGGTAAAACGATGCACTTTATCGACGAAGATTTCAGCGTGTAAATATAAAAGTGTGTTTTCACTCGCATTAGACTCGGTAGAGAGCGCCGCGGATCTCAGACCTCTCTCTCACTCTCTCTCTCTCTCTCTGCTGCTCTTTTGCTTTGATGTGACGTAATGCGCCTCTCGCGGTGACGTAATGCGGAATCTCTCCACTGAACACAGCATCGGTGCTCTGCAGAAATGTTGAAAAATATTAGTAAAAATGAAAAGTTTTTTTGTATTATAGATTTTAAGAATATAGAAAAAATGGCTTGGGCAAAATGTTATGAGCAAGTAATTTGTGGGACAAATGTTTTACAAATAGCTGTATTGTAATATACAGCCTATTTTAATGTTATATTTATACTCTCTCTCTCTCTCTCTCTGTGTGTGTGTGTCGCATTTAACATAGAAGTTTGTAAAAAAAAAAAAAAAAAGAACAAAAAAACCTTTTTTATGTACGTGTATATTATATTGCGATTAATCATATGTGTGTGTGTGTGTGTGTGTGTGTGTGTGTGTGTGTGTGTTTAATTTCCAGGCTCTTGAACCATTTCTTTGCATTCTTGCATTTTTTTTTTTTGTTGTTTTTTTTTTTTTTTTTTTTTGGCGCAGTGTGTCCTAAAACTTTTCATCACTCAGATACAAAACACATTTAATACTTGATTGTATTTACCAACCAACATCCAAACCTCGAAACCCTGAAAGGATTTTCTTCACTTTCCCAGTTTTGTCTTTTGTGTTCGTGGTGAATGAAAGCCTTCCTGTTGCCTAGTAACCGCGCGCGCACGTTGAAAGCGGGGTGGCTGGAAACAAAGTATGAAACAGGTCGCGACGTGACACAATGCTGAGATATGTGTCAAAATTGATCATATCGCGCTTGATGGGTCAAAAATAAAATAAATATCATCCACGGCTGAACGTTCTGCGGTTTAGCGTGGAATAATGTAAGTATTGAGAGCGTGAATCACAGTCAAACCTGTTGTGTTACTGTAGTCAGCTGATATATCCGACTATTAACCTTATTTAACCTGGCGTTCATTACTAATTAACTTAAGATAACAATATGTATTTAGTGTAGACTGTAGTTATTGAGCTGTTTTGCATTATGTCAATGCCACAACACAAATGAAAAAAAAAAAAATCAAAGGACCATTGTAATGCCATCTGATATACCATTACTGTACCGCAACAGTACTTTTGTGTGACTCAGAGAGAGTTTGACAGATGAGACAGAAAATCATTGGTTTAGTGGTATAACAAAGTGATCAATAGTTGTTTATTGATTCAATTAGTCATTGATTTTTGATTTTCACAGATGCTTGAGAGATGCCTGACATAAAGTTACTCAAGTTTCCTTCAAGTGAAGAAGCATTACCAGGTAAAATGCTATGTTGTTTATCAATGTTATTTGCTTAGCATGGAGTATAGAGGAATCAGGAGGATCATAATATACATTCCCAAACTGTTTTGATCATAATGTAGCAATATACGATTAGCCACAATAAGAAGCACATATACATGGAGGATACTGTAAAATTAGTTACAATGTGCTCCAAAAAGTTTTATTTCAATTTCTCCCCCTAACAAGCCATTGTTAAAGACAACATTAAATCTAAATGTCCCTATTTTTAAAGGTTAATTCACCCAAAAATAAAAATAATCCCATTATTTACTTATCCTCAAGCCATCCTAGCCTAGGTGTATATGACTTCAGACAAACACAAACACTCTGATGATGATGTTTGTTTACTGGCGAGAGGGCGGGGCAACCTGTCACTCACATGAAGTCGACCAATAGCAAACCACAACCATCCAATCAATTCCCCATGGAAAAAAAAATCATTTCAGGAAGCGGGGTGTGTCACAATAGGAAAGAAAAGACTATATCACAATATCCGTTTCATCTTAACTTTCTGTGTATATAGTGCTATACGAGATCTTCTTGATCTCTGTGATCAAAGTGAGTTGTGCGTTTCAGAGCAGGGAAAGCTGCAGACGGTTTGCTCCAGTAGGCGTCGCAGCTGTGCTCTGGTTAACACTCCAACACCATGTGTGAACAAAGCAGTTTGTCACATCCAGGAACTGCAGACCAAACTGGAAAATTGGGGCCAGCAGGTAAAATCAAACATAACCAGATGAGGGACTTTATTATTTAATATAGGGCATCATTGTATATGCACACTAAGACCCAAACACAATAATGCAAAACCAAGCTCACAGTTATATGGATTTAATCGCATGTTATTTTTCTCTGCTCTCATATAACATAATGAATGAATAATGAATGTCTCTTGTCTTCTAGGGTGATAATGCTCAGCATGAAACTGCACATGAAAACAACCACAGCATCATTTGGAAGTGAGCCATAAAGCATTATAGATTTTCCACATCACATACATCAATTTGAACCATTTCTCCAGTAAGATCGCACTTATGGTCAGCAGTCTTTATGGTTTAGACCCATTATACTGTACAGTATGTGGACTGTGGAAATAATTTAAATCCAGTTCATAGTTGAATTTATTATTAAAAACGTTTTTGATTAAATAAAGTATTTTTCCTTTGTGTTTTTAGATGTGTTTCTACAGAAAGCAAAAATGTACAAGGAAGCACAAAGCTGCATATTGAAGGCATGGGGCTTTGTGTACAAGGTAATGACATTTTCCATATTAATATTTTGTTATAATGGGGTTTAAAAGGCAATCAATATTCAGTTATATTATCAAAAAATGAAAAAAATATTGAGCTGGATAATTACATGAATTGAACTAAATTGAATCAACACTGAATTGACTCGAGCGCGAGCGGGATAAGGACACTTGCTTTCTGCCGAGCTGCTTATAGCTGAATTGAACCTGTTTGGTAACACTTTACTTGAAGGGGTGTGCATAAGACTGACATGACACCTTCATAACCATGACATGACATATGTCTTGAATATGAAATAAGGTTTATGCATGTTTATGACAACTGTCATTAAGTGTCTTAACTACAAAGACACTGACAGGTTATGATGTATTGGTGTCAAAACAAAGATCATATTTGCATTCAAAATGTCATAACTGAGCGAATGACACTTAATGACAGTTGTCACAAACATGCATAAAACTTCCTTCATCTTTATAACCTATGTCATGTCACGATTATGAAGGTGTCATGATGTCCGTCTTATGCACACCCCTTCAAGTAAAGTGTTGGGGATAATGAGATGATTAATGACACTATTGACTTCTATAGAGCTGCTTTACCTCTTTAATTGACTTTGTTTCATAATTGATGAATTTTACAGCATTAACACTGTTATCTTCCTGTTTTATTAATGTGAAGCTGCTTTGAATCAATCTGTATTGTACAGTATAAAGCGGCAAATAAATAAATGTGACTTGACATGAACAAAGTAGTAGCATGCTCACCCCGTATCACTGACAACAGTAGGACAAGCGCATATTAGGACTTGTTATGCTGGGAATTATTTGATACTTGATAACACTTGAGTTTTTGAATATTTTGTTTTGTGGTAATTTATTCATTGTAAATAGATAGTGAGGTGTTGACTTCCCTCTGGATGGAGGCCGCAGAAGTCCTGATGGAGGTGATGAGTTTGATCGAGCGTCTTGAGTTGGATCGGAGAGATGCAGAGAAGGCTATACAGGAAGAAAAGGAGAAAGCAAAGAAACTGCTGGAGAAACTGGAAAGTCTCCGTGTCTGGAAGCAGAACAAGTTTTCCGTTGTAATGCAGAAAGGTCAGACTGGATGTTGATCATGACACGCAATAGTTGTTTCAGTAAGGTCAGAAAAGCTCTTTAAAACACGATTAACCCGATTATTTCCTTTGTTGTAGTGTTTTTTGCATTAACTAAGACAATAAATACTAAACTCATTTACATTAATTGAATTAAATCAACCATTAATAGAAATAAAATAGAATAGATTTCACAATTTCACATTTTCGTTAAGATGAAGTAAAAAATAAAAAATAAAAAAATGTCTAAACACTCATAATAAAATTATTAATACTAAAATGAAAACATAAAATAAGATAGTTTAGTAATGATATTAAAATAAGCGCTTTGTTGACATATTTCCAATGAAAAGAAGAGGTTGGAACAGCGCATATTGAAGGCATCCTTCCTTTGTTTTTGTTTTTGAAATAGCCATTACACTTAATTTTTTTTTTTTTTTTTTTTTTTTGGGGGGGGTTATATTTATTTGTATTCATATTTAATATAGCATTTTAATGAACAAGGGTCATACACATTTTGGTCAAGTGAAATGAATAAGAAAATGCAAATTCACACCTGTTCAGTAGAGGGCGCTGCTCAAACAAACTATCATTCTAGATCACAGAGGAATAAAGTTTAACACTCTTAATTCAGCATTAAAAACAAAAAAAATTAAACACACATGTGATGTTCATCTAAAGTCATTTTTGCTTATCAGTATGGTTGAATTGGATCATCGAAGGTCAGCAACAATTGTATAGGTTATTAAATTGAGATTAAATAAGTTTATTTGTGTTATTTAACATTTAATTATTGCAGGTCTGCGTAGTTTTGATTCATTTTGAGGAATACTGAATGTGTTTTTGTGCAAGTGAGATGAGTAAACGTCTGCTCATTTATTCTAAAACTACAATAGCATCACGTTTACACCACACACGACGTCTCTGCACATTAGGTGTCGGTCAATACATGGGAAAACCAAGTAACTTATTTTAAAAAGTGACTCTAAAAATATATTTTATTGTAAATTTTAAAATGAAATGCATTACTTTATTAGTTCCTTGTAAAAGTAATCTGATTACGTAACTCGTGTTTAATGTGTGACCCCCAACACTGTTTAAGAGTAAACAAGCATATAGATGACCTCAAGCTAACAGAGATGGACTAAAAGCAACACAACTTTATGCTATAGGGTCTTTTTAAGAGTTTTTTCTCCAAAATAATGTCTTTTCTGCCCCATTCCTGTCTTATATTTGCACCGTCAGAGCGTGAAGCCGGCAGCACAGACATCGCTGAGCTGACGTGGCAACTGAAGATGAGGAGAGATCAGCTGCCGCAGGTGAGAGACAGGCTGACCAACACAGAGGTGCTGAACCGACGTCTGAAGGAGGATATCGATTTCATGAGGAAACACGGCCCGCTCGTGAACGAGAGACTCCAGCTGGAGACTGAAATCATGAAGCAGATC